ATAAATATATATCGGATCGATACGAGGAATTGAACTTTTGCATCGGCATTCTCCTCGGCGGCCCTGATGATAAAAGGCCGAATCCCTTTGGCCGTCTCCCGATCGATTGGGTATCGGTGCTCCGCCCGACGTTACATTCCCGCCCGAGGAATAATTCCGAATCGTGATCAATCGGATTCCGTGGGCACGCAAAGTGCGTCGCGGATGTTCCATGCCGGAACCGCCGCAGCTCCGGGCCATAAATCACGAGAAGCTGGGGGTGAATACTCGAGAGGAATAAATTTCCGCCCCCGGCGGGATGGGTCCTCTATCCGAAAGCAGGCAGCCATCTTGCTCTTTCGGGTAATCAACGGAAGGAAAAAAAAAAAAATTACCCCAATCGTGGATTCTACCGAGTCTTATCGGCTGCGTCGAAGAGCCCCTCGAGCTTTGGGATTGAGGGGGAAAAAAAAAAAAGTGAACTCCATAAAGTGAAACGAAACACGAGGCTACCTAAACATCGGTCCGAGGGTGCACCAGTCGTTTATGGCATTAAATCCTCCTTTAAAAGAAAGGGCTAAAAAAAGTGACGGGCCCCTTCAATTAATTACCAGTCCCGACAAAGTCCGAAGTCGCGCGTCCCCGGGTTTTTCACCTCTCATTGTGGCCATTTCTGACGACAGCGATGCATTAATTATCGCCGGAGTAATAAAGACCGACCTTCTTCACCCTCGTAACAATAATTCGCCCCCTTTGTCTGGCGACGTTTTGTGCTCTTTTGTCCCGGGCTCGCAATCGAGATGTACCTTTTCCCTTTTCCCTCCCCTCCCGGACTTATTTTTCCGCCAACTTCTTGCCGGGCCACCTTAAGGTGATACGAAAGGGTCATTCCATATCGCGTTCCCATTACTTTTTAATTACATGCAAAATTTCGATATCGCAACTTTTTCACGTGTACTGTTCCTTTTCACTCTACCGTATTGTACCATTATTTCCATCCTTCCAGAGTAAACGGAACTGAAGTCGGCAACCCTACGCCCGCGGTATAGAAATTATGAAAATCGTGAAAAATGACGAGAACGGCGATACTCCCTTCCGCCCTGGCGGAAGTTTGCACAAAGAGGGCGATTACCGTTTCGTATTTGCATGCGCCCCGTGACATTTCCCCGAGAAATGTTTCCCTTCCGCAAGGTTGACCGCGAGAATTCCTCGGGAAAAAAGAAATGTCCCCTGTCCAGAGGGGGCAGGGTCGAGTTTTCCCGGTTTCCCCGCAATTGGTCGCGACGGTAGGTGCGGGGTGACGAACGGGGGACGTCGCGCGAGCGGACAGGTGTAAGGGCCGGAAAATCTCCGAAACCCTCGAAAGGGAGGTTTTTCCGGTTAAATCGATGCCTCGGTGGAGTGGCGAGGCGCGTTCCTATTCGGGAAATACAACGAGGGGGAGGCGCGTTTGTGCACCCGCGGGGCGCAAATAAACGAAGCGCCGGCCTGGCCGGGGGGTACGTCTGAAAGAGACAAATTCGCACGACTGAATCGCGCGGGAGATACGTGTTTTTATTCCGTCGAGGCACCGAATGCAAGGCATTCGCAATGGGTCCTGTAAGCGGCCAGGTCGGGGCCGAAACGAACATGCCACGGAAAAACCTCCCGACCTCCCTCCCCGAGTCGCAAAAATGCGTCCTTCGTCTTCTGCATTCATCCGGAAGGACCGATATCCTGGTCAAGAAGTCACCTGCAGCCACGCTCAAGCTCTGTTCATGGTATTCAATGAAATATTCATAGTTAAATCAAGTAACTAAACGAGCAAATAAATTGTCCCAATTCCAAAGAGACATTCCATCCAATTTATTGGACTTTATTCCAGTCGGAATTCATTCGTCTTAATTTATTCCAGTTAATTCTTCGAATTAACGTAATATATTCCCTTGGGACCATTCAAAGAAATACCTCTCTTTGGCACAATGAAATTTCTTCTTTCTTTCTCCTCGGTGCAGGGACGACGACGCTTTTCGGGCGACAATGAAGAAAGGCTTCGGGTTTCCTTTCGTTACGCGACGTCTAGCTGGATTTACGGACGAAGAGGGAAGAAGACGTCGCGACGCGTGCAGTCCCGACCCCCGAGAACCCCAAACGTCCCTTCTGACGGGTGCATCGCGATGCATGTGTGCACCCATGCCCGCGACACATGCGCGCCGCGTCCCTACGCGCATTATCAGACAGCCTTCTATTTTTGCCTCCATTGTCCTCGCTTCGGCTCGCGGAACATCTCGTGATTCACGTTCTTTCCTACATATAGGGCCGGGATGTGTCCGTAACTTCCGCGGTCCGTGACATCGGGCCGGCAGGTGCATTATGCACACCAGCGAGGTGCATCGAAAAGCTCGGGGATAATTCCGGCGATTAGAATCTCGGTGAAGCCTACCCCGAGAAGAGCTCCCTGCACCAAGAAAACAAATAAAAAAAAAACCAAAGAAATATTTCCCTAATTTAATTATTTGACCCAATTCCTTGAATTAAAAATATTTCACCGGTACCATTCAAAGAGATATTCCTTAGGTGGAATGAATTTTTTTTTTCTGAGTCTACCCTCCGGATAAATCTCATGGAAGATGTATGGGGAAAAGGTAGCAGGGTCCACCCTTCAGATCCCATTAATCCCTATAATTCCTATAATTCCTAATTCCCTCGAAGGGAGTTCACGAGGTCCGGGTCAAAGTGCCATTTTGGTCATCGCGGATGCAGCACTGAAATGAAATGCGCCACGATCGTGGTGCAATCCGCGGAATGGGAGGAAAGGGAGGCATAAAGTGCGAACTGCCGAATCGGGAGCACGTCATCCCCGACGGTCCATCGCGGAGTACATGTTCCCGGACGCCCCGGCCCGTGGGGGTCCTCGTCGGCCGTCAGGAGAATAAAATCGATGATCGCTCGAGGCAGTCCCTCATTTTATTCCCCCCCGTCCCGCGCGGCATCGTAGGCCCCTCTAAAACTCAAGATTGATAGCCTGGAGAGCTTCGCCCCCTTCGGCGGTCTCTTTTTCTTAGAGGGGGAGTCCGAAAATCGCGATCCAGCCTGACCGACGCGTCGGATGCAAAAAAGGGCCCCCGCTAATGCACCCCCAAGGGGAGGATTTGAGGATGTTCCTAGTTTTTCTCTCCACCACCCCGGATTCCGTTTACAAGGGGTCGAGGGAATTATGCGCCCCCGCAAAACGTCGGCGACTCTCTTTATAAAACGGCTGATAAAGCGAGCCTTATCGACCCCCGATCGACCCGATCGGACGTGGGGATCTGCCGGTCCCATCCCTAATTCGTTGAAAGCTCCCGCTTTCGCGTGTTAAGTCCCGTAATGGAGACAATTATTAAAATGGACGACCCATTTTTCTTTTCACCCCTCTTTTTCTCTGCTTCCCGAGACTCGCCGTTACGACGCCGCTTTCTGCCTTGACCTAAAGAGAACGGCCGGTCAGCTGTTAACGGGGGGACGGCTCCCTAATGTAGAAAATGAAATCGCATAACGAGCGGATGTGGGGCCCTTTAAGTGTCGTAATGTCCCCCACGGCTCCGCGTGTCGCGCATAATTTCACGCTTCCCACCGCCGTAACCCTGTACTTCTCTTAATTGCTCCGGCCCATCCTCGCCGTTCCATTTTCTCCCCGGAGTGCGGCAGAAAAAAGGAACGTCTTACATTAGGGAGACCGCTTACTTTAGAGGTGTCGAAACGATCTGCTTTTAGGTGATACGAAAGGTGTCAAGAAATTTAATCGACGTCGATCAAATGAAATTCATCAATATCCTTTTCGGTGGGAACGCTATTTTTGGTACTCAAGTGGTAACGCAAGCTGGCGGGAAATTTCATGAGCACCACGTACTTCCTTAGGGCCTCGATAATCACGCGGTGAAATTTCAAATGATTCGGTGCACTCAGTTTGGAAGAACAATTTTGTAAATATATGTATATATAGAATGACCATTTTATATCACCTTAAGAGCATCAGTGAGGTAAAAGCGACGTCGAAGAATAACTACCTTATAAAATATACATTGTTTAACGTTATTTAAAGTTAAGCACCGGTCGCCTCTTTGGCCACCTCTGGTCGGACCTTGTCGAAACGTCGGATGATAACGTTATATCGTTGTTTATCAGGAATTATTATCCGGTCGGTAAAGGAGCCCGAAAGCTGCATCGCACGATAACGTTCCCGCAAGCTCCAGGGATGCCAAGGGAGTTCTGCCTCGTCGATAACAGGATGCGAAAGCTCCCTCCGGTCGGTAAAGCCACCTTCTGCCCCTAAGAGGGATGATTTCTGCCTTAGTAACCCTCTAACCAGCGGGAGAGGTTTTCCTCGCGCCGATACCGACAATTTCCAAGTTTCCCCTGTTGATAACGTTACCCCTGAGCGATCGAACCGCTCATCCTTAAAAATCGTTAAGCTGACATGAAAGGATCACTCCACATATACCAAAGTATCAAAATATGTATAAAACATTTCTCCAAACTGGTTGCACCGAATAATTTGAAACCTTAACCCGTAATCAGGCATGTCCTGATAAAGGTCTTCAAACTCAGGAAATTTCATGTCTCAAAAAAAAATTCCTTTCTTCATTCCCCTCCGGAATACATTTTTTTTTTTTTTCAAAACATGTGGAGGAATGATTCGGTGCACCCAGTTTTAAGAAGAGTTATAAACATTTTGACGCTTCAATAGAGTGAACCTTCATAGAAACTTAAAAAAAAGTGCCGACGCTCTGCCATCCCATAATAGGGTCCCCGTCTTTTTTTTTTTTTTTTTGTTCAGGGAGATGATCGCAATACCGCTTATCTAACTTGTTCGAAGCATTGTGAATCTGTGATTACCGTGGCTTGAATATCGTTTTTTGTTGGATCTCCACTACCGAGTGGATTCGTGCGGTGATTCTGATGCCGCACGTGATTTCTCGAGAGGGTCGGATATAATGCAGGGCGACAAGGTTGCACAGGGGTGCAGGGCGTCGCAGGTGCGTGAATAAAGTTCCACTTACCCCAGAGCCTTAGTGCTGATCAGGGGCGTCTTCAGGTTGAGGAATCCGTTCTTCTTGGCAGGCTGCTGCTGCTGTTGACTGCTGCCAGCGCCCTCGCAGTTCTCGTTCTGCTCCTCCAGGTCGTCCTCTCGTTGTTTTGACCTCCTGGCGCGAAGGTAGAGCCAGGCAGCTAATCCGAGGGCGACTAACACCCCGACAGCTCCCACCGTTCCAAAAACAGCCGTCAGGATGATATCCCTGCGCTCCATGCCCGCCTGCAGAAATACAATCGATCGGCTGTTTAAACCGAACTGTATTAGGATGGCCGCTTAAATTAACCACCCAAGGGCCCCTCCTCGATCCTTTTCAAGGCTCCTTCCGAGCAGAGGTTAAATATCTTCCGGATGCAATTACACGCTATGTACTATACCCAACCTGAAATAGCCTCGGCTGGATTTTCTGCGATCCTGGCCGAGAAACTAACGTGCACATTTATTTCAGCCCGGCATCATTCTACGGGAATTTTCAGATCAAGGGGTTAATCACACTCAGTAAATTATGGTTATTAATGGCGAAAATCGATGGGACTCGGCGACATGATCTCAGGATTTTAAGATCGAACGTCCCTCGCTACCGAGTCTCATCGTTGCCTATCATATGAAACCAAGTCGGTTCTCAGGGAAGGAAATCGTTTTCACCGATTCCCGAGTGAATAGCCCCTTGTTCGGAATATCTTTCGGAGCATCGCCTTCATAGTTTCCGGCGATCGGGCGGATGAAGCGACATTTTTTTCATCCATTTTTACCCCGGATATGAGATCCGCGCCGCATGCCGAGCACGTTTCATGCGCGAGACCTCCGAAGGGTATCCGGCTGATAAATCGTGCTCGAAAACGAGGAAGCAAGGTAACGGCGGTGTAATCGTAAAACTGCGCCTCGTAAGTACCGGGATTAACGTAATTCGTGTCGGGTAATCGCAGTTACGGGAGTTTCAACCGCAATTGTCCTTCCAGTTCCGCGCATTGAGCGCGCCGGATGGACCTCCGGGCTGGAAAATCCCCCGGAGAGATCTGTCGCTCCTCGAGAATCGTTAAAATTATATCCGATTCGTCTTTCCATACTGCCGGTTTTACGCCCGGCCCCTGCCCACCGAAACGGGGAAGAAAAAGTTCGGCGCCGGAGAGCTACATCGATTTTGGAACCAGCGACGGCGGGTCTCGGGTAACCGTGTCAATGAAATATTGCTGGGCGCAATTTCTCCTGGCCCGGAGGCCAACTCGGAAGTAACGACCAGGGATGAAAACTCGGGACGATAGATGTTTCCAAAATCACTTGCCCGATTGCCGGCCACGTTCCCCGTGACTCCTTCTCTCGATTCCGAAGTTCCGTCCGAACAAATTACCGCCCGCGATATTTACGCTTTCGTGGACGACTTTCAAACGTCGACCAGCGACGCGACTCAGCTACAAGTGAAATAGACCCGAAGCAGAAAAATCTATAAAATGTACAGACTGTATCCGTAGAAATACGGACCAAGGTAGTCTTGGTCTCGAATTCCCTCGTCCCTAATCACCCGACGAACTCCCCCTGTCCGCGGCCGTAGGAGCCGATTCCCGTGGAAATTCTAAACGCGTTTACGTAATCCAAGAAAAATAGTTACCCCCCCCCCCCCCTGTCGTTTGCCTCGGAGGAAACTTTAAAGTTAACGGCTCGGAAGAAGCAATTTAACTTGCGCGCGTGCACCGCTCCACTTACGGGGGAGTTCACATTTACCCGCGGATTCGGCTTTGATTTAGTCGCGAGCGGTATTAAACGGCTTACCGGCGCCTCGATTTTTCCGCCACCCGAATGGAAAACCGTATCCCGGTGATAAGGAGATCTCGCCAAATCCGCGGAATCGTCCCGCCGAAATCGGAGGTCCTTGGATGCGCCTCGTCTAGGAGCATCCTCCGTTACCCGGAGACGGCGGGATATCGTCCGGAAGGTGGCTCGACCTCCACAAAGGAGCCAGGATCACGGATGGAGGGCGAGATGAAGAATATGCCGGGAAAGCTCGGAGCCGAGATCACAGGGTTCGAGTCCAGGCAGACAGGCAAGCCTGCCAACCCGGTCGATACCAGGTGCGGTTTAACTGTATCTGTCCCCCGACAGGCCCTCCTGCACCTATAGTTGGCCTCCCTGGCGTACACCCAGGAACCCTGGCCCTTGGGGAAAGCGAGCTTTCCTTTATTACGGGAAATTGAAATGCAATCGCGAGAGACCCGGCGAGCCTTCCGCAATTTTACTCGGCAGCTGCGCCGTCCACGAGGCGTCTCCATTCCGCGTATAGCGCCGTTCTTTTACGACTTTACATCTTTTACGAACATTTTTCTCCCCTCCACGAGCTTAGGAACCTTTCCGTCCGAGTCTCCCTATCGTGGAAATTAGAGGAATTTTCGCGACATCGGGAAATCCCAGGAAAAGGTCCGAGCGATGCCCCAGGTCCTTCGAGCGTCCTCGTCGAGCGGAGAGAAATAAGAGCACAAAGTTATGGAACCCTATCCGTTGGAGAATTATTCTTCGCGATACGGTTAAAAAAACACATTTGAGTAACAAAGGCTTTATCGTCCCGCTAAGGGAAACAATCTGCTGTCCCCGTTTCAACGGATAAAATCCGCGCATTTTGCGGATTTTTCTGTAAGTTTAATAGATGCTCTTTTTTCCTTCTCTCCAGGAAATAAAGCCGGCTCATGGGCTCCCGAAATTTATTCCCGCTGGGAAAATCTCGCAGCGCGATTCGCCTCGAATCTGGCCGGTTTCCCGTATTCCTATGAAATATTTATTTCCCTTGAACCCTTGGATTTCACCCTTCACCTTTTCGCAACAACGATTGCCAGGCGAGCTCGGCACTTTATGCGATTCGGCCAGGAGCATAACCGCTCCGACGCGGTTACCGGAAAAAAAAAAAAAAAAAAAAATACGGAGAACCAGGGCGCCCGTGTTGGCAGTGCTTGTATTCCTAGTCACAAAAGACCCCTCAAAGGCCCAATGGACTTGTAAATAATAATCAAAGCAATTCCATTGGACTGGAGTAGCAATTAATTCCAACGCCAATGGCGCCGGAAACGCGGAGCATTTCGGCGTTTTATGGCCGACACCGACTCGCCTATGTTGAGCCAATATTCCTAGCTGAGTCGTGATTACGCGGAAATTAATTTCCAGACCCGTGGAATGGATTAGAGCGATGAATTAATGACTACCGGATACACTTGGCCATTGGTAGAGCCTAACCGAGCCACGCTGTATCGCGAAATTCCCCATTTGTCGCATAAATAATTAATAACCGTTCAAGAGTCCTTTCTCTAAGGATCAAATTTCCTCTGAATTTATCCCCCCCCGCGGATGGAAGAAAAATTAAATTCGAACGATTGCAATTTCACGTCAAAGGCTGCGTCCCTTGTGCTCCTGTAAAGCACATTCCTCGCCATCTCGTGCCTTAGGGAAGCGTAAAGGACGTCGTTTACCTTGAAATTTCCGCCGCCATTTTGAAATAAACCATCTCGAGCGCGTTTCCGATGATCACTCATCCAGCTTATGACGGAGAAACGGTTTCGATCTACAGTACACGCTATTAAAAAAATCCATACACTCTTGGTACGCAAAGTTGCGGTAAAATGATGACCCTGACATCATAACAGTGATTCTGTACCCATTCATGATACAATCCTAAATAAATGTATAATCACGTAACAATTTGTAATTTTGTGATATTGCGCATGAAAGTTAAATAAATGTCTTATTATAAATAAGTATACCACGTCCGGCTAAGACTTCCAACGTTGATGGTATAAAATTACGTTTTCTTTTCTTTTCTTTTTTTTTTTTTAACAGCGTGGTGGAATCTCGAAGACGCGCATTCTTCCACTTTATCGTCATAAACGAGAAGCGTCGATAAATAATCCCTGGCATACCGTGGGTGTTGAATGCAAAGTGGAAAATAGGCTGCCGTTAAATTCCTGGAAATCCGAAGAAGCGCTCGAAGATCTCCCACGAGGGCAGCGAGGTAAGGCAAAAGGCGTATACTTCGGTTTTCCTTCTTACCTAAGTACATACGTATGTCCGTACATACAGGTTATCCGTTATCCCGAGTCCTTTCATCCGCGATGGATGTGCCTCCTAGATATATCTCGGAGAACGGAATCTCCGCCAAGATATACGACAAACCGCAACGACTCGATGAACGATCTTCGAAGCCACCGCGGAATCCGCGCTCGTCTCGTTGAATCTCCTCGACGTAATTAAATTTATGCGCATCTGCCTTCGCTTATTCAAGAGATCCAACCGGGCTCGGCGAAGTCGGCAGTTTCCGAACTTCGATTACACCAAGCCATTACCGGGTAAATATTTATCCCCCCCCTTGAAAACAGGACAACGTCGAAAGGAGACGGCCCAAACGGTCCATTCGACAAATCTTAGCGTAAAAAAAAAAATAATATAATTTTATCAAATTAAAATAATATAATTTAATTATATAATATAATAATATAAAATGTATCACACATATTATAAATTTAGTACGTATGTGTAATCGATTTATAAAATATGTTATAAATTTCTGTTGATCGGTACTTGATATTAAATGTTTTTGTCCGCCAACAAACTTGACGTATGTTCCGGGCACGTTCTTATTACCTACGATACTTGTTATCTTTCGATTAAATTTCATTAATAATAAACTTATGTAAACGATGATAAAATTAAAAACTCATTTTAATAATTTGCAAACGATGCGTACCAAATGACTTTCGAATATACTAAAAGTGTATGAATTTTATGAATTTTGTTAACAGAGCTACTCAGAAATCAATGAAAGCGATTTCCTTCTTTGGGAGGCAATCGCCTTTGATGTCATAGGATAAAAAATGCGATTCGATGAAAAGTGACGTCTTAAAATCGTGACAATTTCTCGGTGATTTCTACTTAAGATTTCCCTATGATTTCGCAGAACGCAGAAATACTAGAAACGGAGAGGAGTCTTAACGTTCCGTAAACGTAAACTCCCCCATAAATATTTCCGTTCCAGAGATAAACGCAGTCCACTCGAGTTTCAATTCGCGTTGGGAAATGCACCATCGCAGGGGAATTAAAAGAGGGAGGGAGCCCCGATAAATATGCACCGTATTTCCAGGTCGCACAACGGGGGGATGGGAATATTTCCCGCGAATGTTCGTTCGCCATCCGGAAACGCCGGTCAATGATCATCCCGGTTTGTTGGCGCGTCAGGGTATAAACGGGCA